ATTTTGGATATTAACCCTTTATCAATGTACCATTGGTGAATAGCTTCTTCACTCAGTAGATTGTCTTTTTGTTTTGTTAATGATTTCCTTTGCAAAAAAATTTTGGTTTGATGTAGTCCCATTTGTTTACTTTTTTTCTTTATTTGCCCAAAAAAATATATTAGAAAAAATATTGCTAAGAGAAATGTTACAGATTTTACTTCCTCTGCTTTCTTTTAGGATTTCTATGGTTTCCAGTCTTACATTTAAGTCTTTAATTCATTCTAACTTTATTCTTGAATATGATGTAAGAATGTGGTCTAGTTTTATTTTTGCATGTACCTTTCCAATTTTCCTAACACCATATACTGAATAGACCAACCTTTTTAATATTAAATATGTTTAGGTTATATGATTTGATATGAAGCATTTGTTGCTTTTAAAATATACTAGAGAGCCCTGGCCAGTTTGGCTTAGCTTTTAGAGCATTGGCCTGAGGTTCGGAGAGACTCAGTTTCGGTTCTCGCTAAGGGCATGTACCTCCGGTGCAGTTTGTCCCCGGTCCTGGTTGGGTTATATGGGTAGAAGCCACTGGATGTGTCCCTTTCACATCAATGTTTCTCTCTCTCTCTCCCTCTCTCACCCTCCCACTCTATCTGAACAAAAAATGAAAAAAATGTCTTCGGGTGAGGAAAAAAATGAATAAATAAAAAATACTGGAGATAATCCACAGAACTTATATGCATGTAAGCATAACCAATGGTCACGGTCAACAAAGCCGGGGATGAAGGGGGAGGATGGGAGGGGGGTGTCAATGGAAAAAAAGGAGGAACATCTGTAACAAAAATAAAATTAAAAAAAAAAAAAAAGAATGGTCGAGAAATTGTTCCTGTGGAACAATCTGCTTCATAGATTAGCATGAGAACTTATTTGCAAAAAAAAAAAGTCTGAGCATCTCACGTTTAAAACTCCATAACACATGTCACAGCTTTGAGACTGCCAACCATCTCTGGGTTCAGTCAGCATCAAGAGCCTGGTCATAAGAACCCAGCTTGCACAGGCTGATGGCACGTGAGTCCGCATGCGTAGGCAGCCGCTGAACCCATTTCATTCGGGCAGCTACTCATCGAGACTTTTCCCCAGAAACTGATTTAGCCCTAATGATTCTGAGTAGCAATGACTTCTGCTTAATTAGTATAGTAATCAGTGCAAATTCCCTCTAAATGGTAGAGACCCATTTGGCAGGTGCCAAGTGATGCTTAACCAGGACCTAATAGGTGTAAAAGCCTCAGTTCTGGTCCTTCCCAGCTAGTTGCCAAGTACATAAAGATGGAATGAGGTCCTAAGTATGCCTGGGTGGATGAGTTGTTTAAAACTTCCCTCTAATTGCTGATAAGAGCCACCTCCTCCTCCATCCCCCCAGTTTGTTACTCTGAAGCCAGATTTGGCTCCAGAAGTGGAAGAGAGCAAAAGTCACTTCACTGACACTTTGGTATCTCTGCTCCTGATCCCCAGTTCCTCCTTTTCCCCAGCCCCCACTCAGCATTCTGTTCCCGGTCACATGTCCTAATTTCCACCTCTGTACCTAAAAATGAAGCTGCCTTTCAGGCAGAAATAGCCCAGGTCTACCATCCCAGTTTGCCCACACCCTGAATTCCTTCTTGATGGGAAGTGAGGTTGTGTCTGTGGACCAAAGAGGGAGTGAAGATGAACATTAAAGAGAAAGAACACTCCATGTTATAATCAGGCATGTATATGTAACTGACCCAAATAACACTCTTCATTATTAGGAAAAATAACTAAATTTTATTGAGTATTAGCAATGGGCAAAAATGCCCATAGGTTATACTATTTAATCCTTCCCAACACCCAGTCCGCCCCGTGTTATGCCGATTCATGTGTGGCATTTTGCTGCTGGTTATTGGTCCATGGGGAGGCACATGTCCTAAGAGGGCCTAACAGAAGGAATAGAAGCAGCTGTATTCAACTGTTGAGGAAGGGGTTTTTCTTTCTCCTGAACTAGACATGAAGGAGAAAGCATCCTGCCCATTACTGTTGATGACCCTCCTGCACACACAAAGGGAGCCAGCCTCACAACGAAACTGAAAATCAGAACAGGACAGAGACATGGGAACTGGAAGAAACAAATTAATCTCATTCTGCCGGGAGCCCTCTTTACCTCTGCACTTCTCCCTGTGTGAGCAAATCAATTTCCACGTTGTTTAAGTCAATTTGAGTTGACTTTTCTGTTATTTGCTGACAGATCGGAGGCACGGTGGGGTTAAATAACTTGGCAGAGGAACTGGCTGAGTCGGGGTTCAACCCTAGGACTGCCTGGCATCTGAGTTGTGCAAGCTGTCTCCCTAGGATTGAGAGGAGCCTGACAGCCCCTTCAGGAGTGTAGGAAGTTCATCTTTGTGACAGTTAATGTTATGTGGCAACTTCACTGGCTTTTGGGGTACCCAGGTATTTGACTAAACTTCATTTCTGGGTGTGTTGTGAGATTAGCATTTGAATCAGTGGACTCAGGAAAGCAGATTGCCCTCCCCAGTGGGGGTGGGCATCATCCAAGCTGTTGGGGGGCTGCACAGAACAAAAAGCTGAGCACAGGAGAATGTGTCCCTTTGTTCCATGAGGGCACCTTCTTCTCCTGCCTGGGCCTGGAATTTGCACCATCAGCCCCACTGGTTCTGTTTCTCTGGAGAACCCTGACTAATATAAGCCATTACAGCTATTATTTTTAAACAAGTCAGTGATTTGGAGCCAAGTTTGGAAAATCAAGTGGGTGGTCAGGCAGAGAAATTACTTCCTTGGCTCAAGTTAGGACACCCTCCCCGGGTGGCTGAAGGCAGCGGTGACGGAAGGGTCCCCATACTTTTCAGCACAGGCAGCGCAGCACTGCCAAAACAGGACCAGGATCTCCTAAGGCAACTACTTTGAAGGACCTTATTTTTAAGATGTATTTCTAGCATATTTAAGAAATCACAGAGTCTTGATTATTATAATCACATCTAGCACACATTCAAGTCCCAGGCTTGAATCTCTGGACACATCTGAGTCCCCTCTCTATCTCTACTCAGACACAAAGTCCTGAACATTCTTGTTTCTTCACTGTATCTTTGAAATTCATCTTACCTGCCCATTGACCTCAATTTCACCACAAAGTCCTTTCTCATCATCTCCTCACTCCATAGTCACCACTTCACTCTTTGGTCTGTTGTCCCATCTCCAGACTCTCTGCTCTGACCTCCTCACCTCCCCCAACAACTTCATTATTCCTACCTTTAAATAACTCAGAAACCTGCAGTGTAGCATTGTACAAAACATGCAGGCTTTCTCAAACATACATGGGCAAATCTTGGTTCTGCCATTCATTAGCAGTGTAACATTGTAGGTTATGGGACCCTATTAAGCCTCAGTGTTTTGTTGTTGTTGTTGTTTGTTTGTTTTTTCATCTTTAAAATGGAAGAAATAGCAAGTACCTTATTGAATTGTATTGAGAATTATAAAAAATAAAAAATACTGTTATCCCTGGTCAGTGTGACTCAGTCATTGGAAAATTGTCCTGTACATCGAAATGCTGTGAGTTTGATTCCTGGCCACAGCATATGTCTAGGTTGTAGGTTTGGTCCCTGGGTGGGGCATGTACAAGAGACAACCGATCAGTGTTTCTCTCTCACATTGATGTCTCACTGTCTCTCTCACCAGAGTGTGTCCCATGATGGACACCTAGGACCACAAGACATAATATACTAGAACTCATATCCCTCTTTCTGCAGCTTAATTATCTGGGGGACTAAACGCTCAGAAAACAAATTACATGGCAAGACTAACTTTGAAAATCTAAATAAACATGGAAGTCCCCAAACGTTAGGGACAGAACACTTTAAAAAAAAGGAATTTCAGAGGTAAAAATGATAGGACCCTGATTTGGGGTGGGCTGTTGAAATAGGAAGAACAGATGATCACATGAAGGAGACACAACACTTTGCCTTGTTGGGAACATTATTATTTTTTACGTTTTAAGAACAATTACAATTTTATGCACCTGAGCAATAACCAAAATACTTTTTATCTGCAATATAACATAAAAGTAAAGTGAATTAAAAACTAAAAAGAACAACAGAATATGAAAAGGGTAGTCAAGTGTAGGAACTTTTTTGTTCCCATACTGGTTATGTCTAGCCAATTTCCTGTTTGAGTAAACATCTTCATGATGGTAATGGTCATGGTGATGGTGATGGTGAAGGTGATAGTGGTGGAATTGGTAAAGACAAAAAAGGTGATAATGAGGAGAATGATTATCTGCTGCTATACCAAGTTCTAAATATGGGTCAGACATTGTGTCAACTAAATTACACATATTCATTCAATTTCATGCCTAATACCAGTTTGTAAGTTAAATACTATATTTCTCACTTTGCAGCAGAGAGATTGAAATCTTTGTGAGCCCCATAATTTGATTGTCAAATCAAAGAGGAATCTTTAGAAATAACATGTATTTGAAATGATATAGAAATAATATTTGGTACGACATCAAATTCATGTAACACGGGCAGTGAGATCCTGAGCCTTAGGATCAAAGAAGAATAGACATAAACCAAAAGAAAGACAATGTTTATCCCATCACAAATAAGCACTTTATTCAGGAAGTGGAAGAGTAGTTACAGGTGCTCAGGTGGTAGAGCCCTCTGCCCACATCACAGATACAGCACCATGCAGAGAACTCTCTGTGGCCAATAGGAAGAGAACTTCCGATCTTCCTTCTGAAGCTGGGGATGCTGTCACAGCTGAGGACTGTCCTTTCTCAGCTTCCTTTCCTTCCGGAGAGTAGCAGGAGAACAGACTCAGGAAGGAAATCATTAGCTGTCAGCAATAATCACAGGCATACGACAGGCTGAAGGGTGGAGAAACTTCTTCTGCAACCATGATGGGCTTTGAGGAGTAGATGGAGGAGGGGCTGGGGAAGTGGGTGATCCAGTTCTTCTTCTCCTTTCCGGCCCCTGATGAACACTGAGCTGTTAGTTTCCCTTTGGTGGGCATTTCTGCTGGCATGGTGGAGGAGGCTGCACAGGAGGGCATTTTTGCTGACACAGCTGAGGTGGGCATGGCTCAGGGCATTTTGGGGGTGGGCATGGCTCCGGGCACTTTGGGGGTGGGCATGGCTCAGGGCACTTTGGGGGAGCACATGGCTCGGGGCACTTTGGGGGTGGGCATGGCTCAGGGCACTTTGGGGGTGGGCATGGCTCCGGACACTTAGGTGGGCACACGGGAGGTGGCTGGCAGGGCTGCTTGCACTGCTGCTGTTGATAGGACATCTTTCTGGAGTCTTGAATCTGAAAGAAATTACAGGACAGTCTTCACTAGGAGGGCCTCCTACAGAAAGAGAGCCCAACGCTCAGACAGCACCAGGGGAATCATCTCTCCAGTCCCCAAGAAAGTGCTTTCGTCTCTCAACTGCAGTTGAAGACTCTCTGGCTTTTCCCTTCATCTTTATAAGATTGCTTCATCAGCCCTAAGAAAAACCTGTCTTTCTGCTTCCCATTTTTCCAAAAAAAATATTGCTGAAAGAAGAAAGTCATATACTTTGTATAAAAATAACATCTTCATGAAAGTTCATCACAAGTTCTAAAGACCATCATCCCACAAGCAATTTCTATCCTCAGTATCTCTTCTGAAGTCACAATAGGCTGACTCAGGTACACAGCCACGGACTGTTCAGGAACCATGCAGAGACTTTGAATTCACACCTGAACCGAAGGGACATCAACAAATATTTTAAAAAGAACAACAAAAAGAAACCTTTTGTCTTTTCTCTCCTTTATATCAAACTTTTCCTATTAATGTGTTTTCTGTACAGGATATCAAACTATCTACCTGTACACAAGTGAGAATAGTATATCAACGTGTCCCAATTCTAAGGTTTCATCCCATAAGTAGCATCAAACCCATGATCATGATTGAAGACACAGCAAACGTGCTGTCTTTAGATAGAGTCAACACTTGAGAGCACCAACACCCAGTTGAACTCTAGAAATCAGACTCACCAGTTCCGCACAGTGGATCAGACGCGAGTGCGGGAGGATGGTGGCTGGAGGGCAGGCCCCTCTTTATAGCACCTGCTGCTCCGCCCAGGGAAGGAGAGCTCCTGACTCTGACTTGGTCCAGTCATTTCCCATCCAAAATGCAAATCCACCCACAACTGGCTCGACAGGGGTTGTGTAAGCAGAATGCATCCTGCCCCGGGGTCTCCCCGCTGCGCTGCCTGCTCATGACTCAGAGGCCCTGCCTCACCCTCAGTCAGGGACAGGGCTGGGGGGGGCTCGGGGGCTCTAACTGCTGTTCGAAGGCTTTCTTCCTTGATTGGTGACGATGACCCCTTCCTATCTTTCACCTTCATAAAATGTTCTGCCCTGTTCCATTTCAGCTGGTTGTCATTTTCTTGCATGTGCCGGGTTGAAAAGAGCCTGGCTACCTGGTGACACCTCGCTCTTGACCCAGAAGGTCTGTAAATGCATTTGTCTGTGATCCTGTGGCTGCTGATCTACGTCCTCCTTTCCTTCTTCTGAAACGGGCTGGGGTAAGGTTACAGACCATCTCAGTAGATACCCCATAACAATAGGAGGAATATTCAGTAAAATGTGACCTCCAGGGTTCTCTGTGCACTGTTTTGATTCTGCAAATAGAGGACATATAGCTAATTGCTATAATCTTTATAAATCTGTATCACCCTTGGCTCATGGAAAATACTACAAACACACGTCAGCTATTGAATTTCAAATATCCTGGCTGGTTTGGCTCAGCGGTAGAGCATCGGCCGGTGGACCAATGAGTCCCAGGTTCGATTCCAGCCAAGGGCACGTACCTCCATTTCGGTTTGTCCCCTACCGTGGTCTGGGTCGTGCGGGAGGCAAACAGTCGATGTGCCCCTCTCACGTTGATGTTTATCTCTCTCAGTTTCTCTCCTTTCTTTCTCCCATTCTACCTGAAAATAAATAGAAAAGTATCCTCACGTGAGGATTAAATAAATAATTAAATAAAATTTGTTCATTAAAAAAAAGAAATTCTAATGGTCTGGATTACCTCATCTAATAAGCAATGGTATTCAAATAACCAATATTATACTAATTTAATATTCATTAATTAATTGACACTTTGACATAGAACCTGTTGGAAAATTCAAGACAAATTTTAAATAACTTTATGTTCTGCACCAACATTTCTGGCCAGGCACGAACGTGGGAGCTGGAGGTGGAAAACCACTTCTTTGTTATTCTCCGCACATCTGGCCACGTCCCTAGTATAACTCTTTTTGAAGAAGAATCCCACTGATACTCTCCCTCCTCCTCGCATTGACATGCACACACCAGAGCCGCAGCCCTCAGTAGTCATATGTATGTATGCCACAGTTCGGCAGAAAACGGGGTATCATACTCAGGTTTCAAAACATAAGGAATAAGTTTATCCAGGTTCCAACAATCAGACAGAAATTCTCGAGTTGGGCCCTGGCCAGTTTGGCTCAGCGGTTAGAACGTCGGCCTGCGGTCAGGAGAGACCTGGGTTCGGTTCCCACTAAGGGCACGTACTTCGGTTGCAGTTTATCCCCGGCCCTGGTTGGTCGTGCGGGTGGCAGCCACTCGATGTGTCCCTTCACATCGATGTTTCTCTCTCTCTCTCCCTCCCACTCTATCTGTACAAAAAATGGAAAAATATCCTCGGGTGAGGATAAAAAGAAACAAAACAAAAAAAAAGAAATTCTCGAGTTGGTCAGACTATGATAAATTGGGAAAAAATGGGTGGTAATAAGAAAGTTAATAAGGATAATAAATCATAGCAATATAATAATAATATAATGTATAATGTAATAATAACATAGATAATAGAATGATAAAATAGTAATACTGACCTCTAAACTGTTATGAGAAATAAATTAAATAAGAAACTGCATGAAGAGCATGTAGCAAAGTCTATCAAAAGTACTCAAATAGTAAATTAATAAATTGTTAATTAAAGACATAGAGATAAAACCAAGTTCAATTGTGTCTGGTGGTGGAGAATGTGATTAGTCTTATTCTTAAAAAGATCTGTTATATCATCTCTATTTTAAATCAGTGCCAAAATATTTTTAAAGAAAGCGTATAAAAACACCTGGCTGGACTGACGTATAGAAATAATAAAGTGGGTTAATTATAACACTTATTAGTTGTCGAAAATCGAAATTAAAATCAAATAGAAATTTAGAACACAGTGTAAAAACAAGACAATTTAATTGTTCTTAGGTATTTGGACTCACTTAGAACTTCTTCTGAATACTGTTAAATATTTTTAAAAATCCAAATACAATAAAATCCAATATATGTTGATTTTGTTGGTTTGAAAAAAAATTGAATTTATAAATATTTCTCACTCTTCATGAAAAAATATGATGTAATTTTTAATTTAGTTTGTTATTACCATACTTAGAAATTTAGGACAATAGAATAAGCTCAAGTTTAAATGCCACATTCCTTCTTGTGGTTGTTTGCCAGGTCAGGGTAAGTTTTAATTGAGAAACAAATAACCATAAGGGCTAATCTTCCAAAAGGAAGTAGACTTCGTAAATTCTATTTTATACAGACATACTTCATTTTATTGCCTTCACGTTATTGAACTTTGTAGATATTGCTCTCTCTGTTTTTTTGTTTTTTGTTTTTTGTTTTCTTTCACAATTTGAAGGTTTGTGGCAACGGTGCATCAAGCAAATCTTTGGGCACCAAAAAGATAATGGTTTGCTGAAGATTCAGATAATGGTTGACATTTTAAAGCAATAAATTACTTTTAATTAAGGGATATACATTATTAGCTGTAATACTATTGCACACTTAATAGACTACAGTGTAAATATAGACTATAAATAGACTATAGTGTAAACATAACTATTATATGCATTGGGAAACCAAAAATTTCACTTGCCAGGAACCAGGATGTTTTATGTGGGATCAGCATTAGCCATGACTGCCAAGAATAAAGCCACCACCCTCAACAGTGTAGAACAAGGTATCTGCACATTGTGCCATCATCACTGAGACCATGAGTGCTGGGTCACAGACCCGGGCATGCCAAGGGACTTCCTCCAACACTAAATGACTCCTCATGTCCACATCCTAATTTCATAAATGAGACTTGACTTCCACAACCCAGGATTTGTGAATCACTGTCTAAATCTCATGTCACAATAACAGGGAGATCAGTTTCTGAGGACACACCTCCCAAAAGGTGACTGTTGTCCATGACAATGAAGACACTAATGTTTCTTCCGGTTTGGTGTCCCAGACCCCTCAAAGCAAAAGCCTGATGCAGACTTGGTCCCTGAGCATCTATGGATTCTCCTTAAACGGTGAGTCAGCCCCCAGAGCAGCTACTATCACGTGACGAGCCCACAGATGGCTGCTTCGGCCACCCAGTCACTCTTGACCCCTGAGACCTACTGTTCACCAACACCTGCTCCTTGGTTAATAGGGAGTCCTTGTAACCAGCTGACGGTTTGGGGGGGGGGGGTGGATATCCCATGCTTGATTCAGTAAGTGGGTGAAACCCAAAAAGGCACTTCTCCATCCCAACAGCCCTACCCTAGGTTAGGCCTAAACTACAGGGGTGAGGGGAAACTCCTAGTGGAGAGGGAAAGACAAAAAGCAATGAAATCTAGACAAAGACAAACGTAAATAAATACAATTTGTTAATAATAATGAGATGTGAGGTTTAAAATGTAAGTATATGACAACAGTAACTCAAGAGCCTGGGATTAGATTGGCGAAGTTAAGGCACCCTAAGGTAACTCGGGTTTTCTGAGAAAGAGTTAAAGTACTAATGTTTATCAGATTACAGTGAGTCAAGTATGTTTGTTATAATATCTGCAATGTCCTCTAAAAGAATAGCAAATCAGTATGTATCCCTAAACAAAACAAAACAAAACAAAACTAATGGGGACGGAAGAATAATAAGAACACTTAATCAATCTAGAAAGAGGCAAGCCCTGGCCAGTTTGGCTCAGTGATGGAGCATCAGCCCTCAGACCAATGAGTCTCAGGTTCAATTACAGTCAAGGGCACGTACCTCAGTTGTGGTCGGGGTCTTGGGAGACAGCCCCTCGTGTCCCTCTCACGTTGATGTTTCTCTCATCTCCTTTCTCTCCCTCCCACTTTATCTGAAGATATATAGAAAATATCCTCAGGTGAGGATTTTTTTATTTTATTTAAAAAAATAAATAAAAGGAGGCAAGATGCCCAGCCAGTATAGCTCAGTGGATTGAGCATTGTCCCAGTGTTCGATTCCTGGTTAG